GACATTTGGCGACCGTGACAGGACGGGGTTTCATGTGTTAATCGTGAAAAAGTGTTATTGAACGTCTCGAAAATGGAAAAAGCCAAGAAGGCAAGAGCGGCACGAAGGACCGCGTTTACGCGTGCGCTTAACGCAGTTAATGGCGGCCTAAAAGACGCACCGTTAAACTTAAACGAAATTGAGGCGTCTATGCAATTATTAGAGGAGAAATATACCGATTTGGAAGCGATTAATGCACAGATTTTCGACTTTCTCATCGACAATAATGCCGAACAGTCGGTAATCGATCAAGAAATGGAAGCAGTCGATGAATATAAATTCATATTTCTTCAAAAAAGAAACGAAGTCGTGAAAACGTTAAACAATGGCATGCAAAAAGAGGGTGCTAAGGTCGAAAACGCGTTACCATGTGAACCAAAGAAAAATTTTCGTCTTCCAAAGATCGAACTGAAAAAATTCAGTGGTGATATTAAAGACTGGTTACAGTTCTGGAGTCAGTTCAAAAAAATTCACGAAGACGAGAGCATTGTCGCCGAGGACAAATTTCAGTACCTCATACAGGCCATGTTGCCGAATTCTCGAGCGTATGAGTTGGTGCAGAGTTTCCCGCCAACGGCAGAAAATTACGGCAAAGTGATCGTGAGCTTAAAAAATCGTTTTGGTCGTGACGATCTTCTCGTCGAAGTGTACGTACGAGAACTCTTGAGACTCGTCTTGCAAAATGCGGTGAAACCGAACGAAAGTATACGGCTGTCGAGTTTGTACGATAAAATCGAATCTCATTTACGGGCACTCGAGACGTTGGGAGTAGCAACCGATAAGTGCGCGGCCATGCTTTTCCCGCTCGTAGAGTCGTCGTTACCGGAGGAGCTGTTGCGCGCGTGGCAACGAAGCACGAGTGTAAGTAATGGAAATGCCGAAAATGCTGCAAAAGATCGGTTGACGCGGTTAATCGACTTCTTGCGATCTGAAGTAGAGAATGAGCAGCGAATATCGATGGCAATGAACGGTTTCAGCTTAAACGCGCAAAAATCGAAAAAAACGAAACCACGATCAGAGACACACAAAGACATCCCGACAGCGATGGGTCTGTTGACGACAAAACCGGTTAAGAACATTACGTGCATTTTTTGCGGCAGTGAACATGAGAGTGCGGAATGCGACAAAGCACGTAAAATGAGTTTTTTCGAAAGACGTAAAATTATTAAAGACAAGAATTGTTGCTACAACTGTCTAAAATACGGACATAATTGCAAAAATTGTCGTGTTAATATTCGTTGTGCATGGTGTTCTAAACATCATTATATCGTAATGTGCCCGGAGTTTTCAAAAGGTGAGAATGAAAATAAGGATTGTACTCCCTGTGACGCAAAAGAAGAAAAAAATCTGGCAAGTTTTTTACGGGATCCAGATGTAATTTTGCAAACGATACGCGTAAAACTGCGAAATGATGTAAAAGAGAGTATCGTCCGGGCAATTATTGATACGGGCTCTATGAAATCGTATATTCTCAAAAGTGCCGTTGAAAGAATGGGATACACGCCCGAGGGGGAGCAGGTGATTACGCACTCGTTGTTCGGCGGTGCAAAATCGAGCGCGACCAAGCATCGTAGCTACATGGTCGGCAGTCTTGACGGTAGATACTTTTGTAGATTCAACGCATTCGACCAAGACGTAATATGCGGCAACATTGCGAGTATCAAGAGAGGTCAGTGGGTTGAAGAATTGCAACATTTAAAAATTGAACCGCCGGATATGAGCGAAGACGAGTCAACAATCCAACTTTTAATTGGGGCAGACATCGCAGGAAAACTGTTCACTGGAAACACAAGAATTTTGAAAAATGGACTAGCCGCTATAGAGACTCTTCTTGGATGGACGATCATGGGCAAAATACCGAGTGATGGACAACGTAAAGACTCAAGCTTAACGACTATTTCATTGTTCGTTAAAGAGGCTAACATTTCCGATTTATGGGAGCTGGACGTGCTGGGTATCAAAGATCCATTTGAAAGCAAATCCAAGAAAGATCATGAAGATAAAATACTGTCTGCATTTTTGGAAAATGTCAAGGTCAATGAAGATGGACGTTATGAGGTTCAACTGCCTTGGAGAGAGAATCACCCTACCTTAGAAAATAATCGAGAACTCGCAATTAGACGCCTGGAATCTACAACCAGAAAATTAAAAGTGAACGATCTTTTCGAAAAGTACGACCAAGTTTTCGATGAGTGGAAAAGTGACGGTATTATCGAACAAGTTCCTGCGAGTGAAGTGACTAAATGGGGCCATTATTTACCTCATCGACCAGTATTAAAAGAGAACAGTTCAACAAAAATCCGGCCAGTGTTCGACGCTTCGTCCCACGAAAAGGATTCACCATCGCTAAACCAGTGTTTGGAAATAGGCCCGAACTTAATCGAGCTCATCCCTTCGATACTGTTGCGTTTTAGAAAGTGTAAATACGGTGTTATTTCTGATATTAAACGGGCGTTTTTGCAAATCAGCATACATCCAAAGGATCGCGACTTTTTAAGATTCTTGTGGTACGATAAATCGGGTAAGGTTATTATTTTACGCCATGCCAGGGTAGTCTTTGGAGTATCGTGCAGTCCGTTTTTATTAGGCGCCGTAATCGATCTGCATTTAAAACGCGTTATGCAGGATGAGCTTTCTCGAGAATCAATGAAGTATTGTCCGAGAAATATTACAAAATTGTCCGAGAGTTTTTACGTGGACAATTCTGTAACAAGCGTTAATAACGTAGATGAAATAAGCTCGTTTATATCGGATGCTAAGATGGTAATGAAAACCGGTGGCTTTGAGCTCAGAGGGTGGGAGTTTTCAGGTGATTCTCTAGATAGCGACAAATCTCCCGTGCTCGGTATAATTTGGGATAAAAACAAAGATGTTTTGTCAATAAATGTACCATGTTTAGATGAACTTTACGAAACCGTTGTCACGAAACGATCAATGTTATCCCTTGCTCATCGTATATTCGATCCTTTAGGCGTCGCTTCTCCAATAACCCTTTACCCAAAGTTATTGTTACAAGAGGCATGGGCTAAGAACCTATCTTGGGATGATGAAGTAACGGATGAGATAAAAAATAAATTTTTAAAATGGGTAAGACAGCTAGATAATTTACGCAAAATTGAAATACCGAGGTGCTTGTTGGGAGAATTGGGAAGAGACGACCTTATAACTATTCATACGTTTTGCGATGCCAGTCAGATGGCGTATGCAGTCGTAATATTTATACGGATCGAAAATAACTTAGGGGTGCGTGTTAAATTTGTACAATCGAAAGTCCGAGTTGCGCCGGTGAAAACTTGTACTATTCCGAGACTAGAATTATTAGGAGCTACTATAGCCGCACGCTTAACCCACTCAGTTGTAGAAACACTTAAACTAAATAGCGTGAAGAAATATTATTGGTGCGACTCTACTACTGTTCTCGCGTGGATAAAGAGGCAGTCGCAATGGGGGGTGTTCGTTCTGAACAGGGTACAAGAAATTCGTAAATTGTCCAGTTGCGACGAATGGTATCATGTGCCGGGTGAACACAATCCTGCGGACTTGCCTTCGAGAGGATGTTCTGTCGATCAATTAATGGCTTCTAGATGGTGGGGGGGGGGCCACAATGGCTATATTCGCGTTCTGATTGCTGGCTTTTCTCAGAACCTAGTTTCAACGAAACAGAAATCGAGAAAGAAGCGAAAAAATCGGCTATTTCTAAGGGTAAAGATAATGCGGGAAAAGACATGAGTACGGTACTGGCAGCAACCAATCAGAGTAATATTAGTTCATGGCTTATCGATCGTTTTTCTACTTATAAAAAATTACTGCGCGTCTGTGCATGGATAAAGCGATTTATTTATAATAGTAAACTACAAAAACACTTGCGTAGTTCAGGAGAGTTATCTGTTGAAGAACTGCTCGAGTCCGAATTGTTTATGTTAAAACTTGTTCAAACGGAGGTTTTTGCCAATGAGAAAGACAAGAGGCTTGAAGTTTTGAAGGCATTTAAAGACGATAAAGGGTTGATACGGTTGAAGACTAGAATTACGGAAAGAGACGATACGTACAATTTTCGGTACCCTATTGTCTTACCTGCTTGTCATGATCTAGTCACACTATTGATTAAAGAGAAACACGATAAGTTGGGGCACGCTGGTGTACAGATTTTGCTTAATAATTTAAGAGAAGATTATTGGGTTCTGGGAGGCCGAAAGGCCATTCGCGCCGTATTAAAAGGATGTTCTACTTGTCAACGATACAGTTCGAAGCCAATGGAAGTAATATCAGCTCCTCTTCCTTTAGATAGAGTAAGAGATGCTGCTATTTTCGAGGTGACTGGCGTCGATGCTGCTGGCCCTATTTTTTTGAAAGGACCGCAGAAAGCTTGGATTATATTGTTTACGTGCGCGGTGTATCGAGCCGTACATCTTGAGCTGGTTACCTCGCTGTCCACTGTTGCCTTTATAGATGCGCTTAGACGTTTTATTTCGAGACGTGGTCGACCTTCCATTATCTATAGCGACAATGGAAAAAATTTCGTAGGTCTTGACAATCTATTAAAGCTGGTTGATTGGCAGAAAGTCGAAAAATTTGGTACGATTAATAAAATACAATGGCGGTTTAATCCACCTTCTGCCGCGTGGTGGGGCGGATGGTGGGAGCGTTTAATCGGAGTATTGAAGCGATTGTTGCGACGTATATTGAAAAAGGCGTGCTTGAGCTACGAAGAAATGCTTACTGTTTTGTACGATTGTGAGGCAGTAATAAATTCGCGGCCGCTGACAGCTATGTCTGACAATGCGCAAGATTTTGTCCCGTTAACCCCGTCGATGTTCCTACAAGAGATTAAAGAGGTAGGCGTCCTCGATTGCGATTTTTTGGAGCGATGTAGACTAGATAAAAGATTTGTATATCGTCAAAGTATTAAAGATCAGTTGCGAAGTCGTTTTCGTATAGAGTATTTAGGCGAACTAATGTATCACGATAATAAAAGGAGTAAAAGGATCCGTCAACCACAAATAGGCGATATAGTATTGATAGGAAATGACAACCAAAAAAGGCTCGACTGGCCCCTAGCGCGAGTAACTGAGTTGATTTTAGGCAAAGACAACAAACCTCGTGTTGTACGTTTGAAAACGGCTTCAGGAGAATTGACGAGACCCGTGCAAAGAATTTATTCCTTAGAAATGGATGACGAGTTTAATGTTAACAAAAATGTTTTAATCGAAAAGCGAAAAGAGAGTCTTAATAGCGATTGTCTAGATTAGTTTTATCATTATCCTTATACTTAGATTTATCTGATAACAGTGTTATTTTCAAAATCACGTTCGACTAAAAAAAAAAAAATATATGATTTGATACATTATATCGTTGAATTTGTTTTAAGTTGGTCATTGAGTTGGCTAGTCAACTCAAGGTGGGAGAATGTTAGATTCTATGTACCGTCTGAATTTCGCGCGTTGAATGTTCGCGCCATCTCTCGGCCGCCGCTACTGCCCGACGATGGAATAGGCGTACGCGGCGCCTTCTTTTTTTTTTTGATAGTGCTGTATATACGTGAGAGAATGCCGAGTCGATGCGTGTGATCGCTCTCTCGAATAAAACCCTTCAAAGAGACGTTGTTTTGTCTATCGCGATTATTTTCCCGTTCCTAATTCGACACCATCCATCCTATACCTGGACGTACTAATAAAAAACCGTATTGAAAAAAATGTGCCATAAAAAATGCCAGATAATAATTGTGTCATATAAAGCGTCGTGCACGCTCTATCTTTCTTTAACGTACGAACCATGGTTATCTACACATTTTGGGGGGGGGG